CTTAAAATTTCTTTTTTAAATAGTAGAAAATTTTAATTGAGTTGGAGTCCAATGTCCCTGAAGTATATGGATTGAATCCTTTCCTTTACCATCATCTTTTTGTTTTAAAATGCCCCTCCATAACCATATTAGAAGGCATCTGTTTCAACATATTTGTAAAAAGCATTAGGATCCAGGTTAAAATAATAATAAGTAAGCGAATTTCTTTGACCAAGGATGTTGATTCTTTTGTTATTAATTGAGTATGCTGAGTTTGTCCCAAGGACAAGCATTTTTACAAAGTCCCTATTAATGTAATGTTTTTATCATGCAATTTTAAATTGGATAAAAAATCAATTACATAAATTTAAAACACATAATTTAAACAACCAAGAAATCTTTGAAGTTGTACTTTATTAGTTATTTCATCAGGAAATTTTTCTCCAAATACTAAAGTTCTTTCTATAGGTTGAAGTATTCCTTGTTCAATATAATGTCCTAAAAATCTAATTTTGGTTTTAAATAAATCCATCTTAGTTTTACTAAGTGCTAAACCATTTTTCTCTATTATCATACAAAAAGTTTTTAAATGTTTAAAATGGTTTTCAATAGTTTGACTAAATATTAACACATCATCAATATAGACTATACATAATTGGGAATAGGGGTTAAATATATCATTCATTATTCTTTGAAATTCTGAAGGTGCATTTTTTAATCCAAACGGCATTACATTCCATTCGTATTGACCAAAAGGAACTGTAAATGCCTGTGAAATGCTGTTTTTATATCCTGTCTTTAGGATCTTGAAATCTGCCAATAACCAGATTTCATATCAAAATTTACTAAAAAATATTTGCATTGTATAATTTCTTTAATAGGTCTTTTTATAGGAATTTGGATATCTGATCCATTTGAAAGGCTGGTATTTAATGGTTTATAATTTATACTAAGTCTTGGAACACTCGTTCATTTCAGCATTTTTATTGACATAAAATAGCTGCGAACATGACCAAGGACTTCTAGAAGTTTACAAAATTAAATTTTTCTTATTTATTTAAATCTTGAATTTGCTGTTTTAATTAACAATGCTCATTAATTCAGGGATTCATCCTGAATTGGTCCGAGCTTTAAAGTTTTAAAATAGTTTTTCATCAAAATCTTTTTTCATATGGTAAATCTACCATGTGTTGTTTAACGATCCCAAATGCACTTGGATGCTCAACACATAGTTTCTTTTTCCATAATGTTTTGGAAGATTTTTGAATTTTATGTTAACAAGATCTCTGCCTAATTGAGTTTGCAATTCTATTTAAAAATGGATATTGTTAATCTTAAATCTTTTTATTATTTTTCTTCTTTTGATTTTATTGTAAAGAATTGAGATTCTAATATTTTAACTGAGATGAGCTTTTAACAGATTTAATTGTTTGTTTTTAGGTTTTCTGTAAATTCCTAATCTATGCTCTACTATTTCTTATTTTGAATTTTTAATACAATTTTTCTTTACTAAATGGTGTGATGAAGATTTTATAAATGGAGTACCTAGTATTACCAATATATTATCTGAGGTGGAAAAGTAAAAATACTGTGTTTATTTCATTAATTCTGGATTTATGATCTATTGCCCCCCCCAAAAATCCTTGGTTTCCCTTTTCCTATAATTTCAAAGTTAGATTTATTGGCTGTAACTTAATTGTGAGCCTGGTGCTGGTACTTCTTCCTCTGTTCCTGTGCCTGCTACAGATCGAAATGTTTCGACATCTCAGCAGCAGCCACTATCGTCTCCTGATCCCGATGCTGTAGACAATACCTTAGTCACCCCTCCCGACACTATAGCACATCCAGCAGGTACTCCTCCCGGCGATTCAACATTGGATCGTGCAGATGAGCAACCGCGTAGATTTGATTTTGGACCTTTTTAGTTTTCCACTTGTTTTTTGACATTTTGTTCAGTAAAATAACAATTACATTTTTATATTGTTTTTGAATTGCGTTTGTAATATATATATATATATAAAATGAATCTTCATTTTTTAGCATCTTAATTTCTTTATATAATTCTTTAGTAGAGTCATCTATATCGACCTTTTTAGGTTGGTTTTTATTTAAAATGGTAGTTAAATCATAGGTAGTTAAATCATAAGTATTAGACTGAATTTTAGGAGTAATATTTTTTACGGCATCTTCGTCTTCAAAACTTTTTATTAGTTTTTTAAGAAGTTTAGCTCTAATTTCTTGATCTTCAATTCCATTAACTACTGTTAATAAATTACTTTGATCTTTAGTGTTTAAAGAATATTTTGATGAACTGGAAGAACTTGTATTAGTTCCTAATTCATCAATTTGATTTTCACTTTCATTAATCTCAGATTCCGAGGAATCCGAATCAATATATAATTCATAAATTTTATTTAGAACATTATCTTCTAAATTTAATTCATGTAATCTTTTATTAAATTTACAAAATTTAGATGTATGCCCTTTTTTATCACAATTATAACAAGTCAAATTTTTATAAGGGTATGAACTAGTTAAACAATCTGATAAAAGTTTAAAAGACCATTGAACTAGTTATATATATATATATATATTAATCTCTAAAAAAATCTATTTACTCCCAAAAATAATAAAATCCAATTGTCTTAACTAAAACTATCGTATGTCTATATCTATTTAGAATCTAGCATAGCATCTTATGTTAGAAACCATTGCATTCATGCGACTAAAAATAAAGTGCGGAGGTACAAAACCATAAAAAATTACTTCCTTTTTTTTTTTTCTTTTATTCATTAAAACACCATTTTAGCAAATTATATGTGAAATGACCCGAAAAATTATTTTCAAAAATTTTTCATTTAAAATAATCCTTCTTTTTGAACTATACTAATTAATTGACCATAAGTTAATTTACTATAAGGTATAGGTTGTCCATACTGTTGTTTTATATGATTTCTAACTTTTTCACCCAAAAAATAAGGTAATCCAGCCAAAAACTTTTCTTTCCAAAAGCTTTGGTTAGAATCTTCCCTTAACATTAATCCGCTTAACAAATTCTAGTGAGAAAAGTCGTTTACGTATAATTTTGAAAAAACCTAAATGTTTACATTTTTAAATTACTGAAGTAACTCGCATTTTTATCTTTTAAGTGAGATGCGATCTCCTCGACCCATATAAATGAAGTGAAAATGGTAAGAATTAAGGATGGACACCGCATCTTGAATTACTGTCACCATTCATCAGGTATATAGGATTCCCTATCATTATTTGAATTTGAATTAGAATTTTATAATGTGTTGAGTCAGTTGAGGATGATCAAGTCCCACCATCCTTTAAGTTTGGCCAGGTAAATCCAGGCAATTAAGATTTGCCCTATAGCTGTTTATCAGAAATGATTGACTGTTGTCTTTATAAAGGCCATTTGCAGCCGATTGTCAATCTGTTGCGAAAATGGACGAATATTATATTTTCACTTCTAAAACCATCTATGTTCCATTCATAGATTTTGTTGCAAGCGTTTATTTAAATTGAGATATAGTTATTTAGGTTTTAAACAATTCCTAAGTCTGCGCTGCTCTATTTACTATTTCTCTGATGCATGATTTATAGGATTGATTATCATATTGTTGAATATTTTCTGAGTCAGGTTCACTAAACTTTCAGAGTTGGTGTTTTTCTTCAAGTTCTATTATTTATGTTTCTTGGATGCTGAACTGATGAGGAGTATACCTGAATAGCTAATGTAATGGGCATAGGTTAAAGCTGGTTTAGATGGCCTGGATAATTGTATTGCGGATCATTGAAACTAATTTATTATATTATATATATTTTCATGTTTTGTGGTGGCTCAAGACAGTAAATATGACACAATTATTGGTTGTATCAAGATTTTTTTTTTTTTGGGCTGAACTATCAAATAATTTAATGTATTACTTCTAACTCTTCGTCCCCCACGACAAACAAAATTGTAACGACTGTATTAGTTTAATCTATTCTTCTAAATATCAAGTATTTTAGTCTTTTTTTTTTCGAATGTTTTAATGAAAAATTTGGAGAAAATGGACAGATTTATGTTTCTTGATGCTGATGATTGAGGAGTATCCTGAATAGCTAATGTATGGGCATAGGTTAAAGCTGGTTTAGATGGGCTGGATAATTTATTGCGGATCCATTGACTAATTTTATATATATATATATATTTCATGTTTTTGTTGGTGGCTCAAGACAGTAAAATGACACATTATGTTGATCAAATTTTTTTTTTTGGGTGACTATCAAATAATTAATGTATACTTTAACTCTTCGTTTTCCCTCCACGACAAACAGAAATTCTAACCTGATTAGTTTAATCTATTTCTTCTTAAATATCAAGGTATTTTAGTCTTTTTTTTTTTTTCGAAGGTTTTAATGAAAAATTTTGGAGAAAATGGACAGAATAACTAAATGATTTGACGGAGATAAATCTCGAAAATCATTAATTACTATTGTTAAACTGCAGGGATGACTTAATTAATTTGATCAACTCTTAGAAACGAATTAATTATTTACCCTTTTTAAGTGTCGGGGTATTTTAGTCTTTTTAAAAAATTTTAACGAAAAAATCTATAAAAAATGGACGGAAAGACCAAGTGGTTTGACGGAAGTAAACCTCGAAACCATTAATGAATATTGCCAAACTACAGGGATGACTTAATTTAGTCAAATGTCTGGGACGAATTAATTATTTTCCCTCAAAAAGAAACTCCAGTGGAGCTTCAAAAATAGCATATCAATTCACTAGATGAACATAAAATCATAAACTAAAATTAAATAGAAATAACGCATTATTACCTAAAGAATGTAAAAAGCTTAACTTAGAGCCATCTAAAACAAAACAAATTAGGAAAAAAAAACAATTATATTTACTGTAACTTTCCATTCTAAACAAATGAATTCTATTATAAGATCATTTGAATTTAAATTCCATCACATGAATTTTTGTAGTTTGTGTTGTCAAGGAATTAAGCCTTCAAATATCCAAATTGAGACTGCACACTCATACTTAATAATATGACCATTGATTATGAAACTGTTACAGCAAGAACGTTACAAAATTAACCTCTGATTATGACACGTACATACAATCTGGTTAAGAGGGAACAGACACAAAATGAAAGTAGACTAGATATAGATTGATGCTAACAGTACCTTTTACTAGAACAAAATCTTGTCTTCAATGGACAATCAGGTACTAGAAATTCCCACAAGCAGATCAGAAATCAAGGAATGCTTCTAAACAGGTTGTGCTTCAGGACGCTGAACTTGCAAAATCAATTGCCATCAGTAACTGAAAAATGGATGCTACTGTTTTTTCGACAAAGTCATTTTTCATTCAGACTCAGAAATCAGAACAGTTAGAGAAAATGTTGGCTAAAAGTCGACACAGTCAGCAGGTCATTTGAGTTTCTACTTTCTTAAAGGATACAATTTCTTCCATCCAAATTACCATCATCTTTGATTGAATTTATCCGATCCCGCCTGCATCTGATGCTGCCATTACAGAAAAACCACAAATAAGAATCATATTGTTCACAACTGCTGAAAACGCAACCATGTGATTAGAATGAATTAATTGCAATCTGATATTTCGAATACGCATAGTTTCAGTTCAGACATTGATAACTTGTTTGAGAAAGGGTAGAACAAGTTTCTAACTTTTCCTAGTCAGAAAGACCTTCACTGTCAACACACAAGGAATAACTTGGGATTACAGTGTAATTGAAGGAATGCCTTTACATTTCTTTTTGAAAACATTTTATTTTTATTTTTTCACTTTTCAATGAGCACATTCTAGAGTCCCACTAGAGGGGACATAAAATAGTAAACTACTAGTTTCTTTGCAGTTAAAACCTTACCAAGCCACATCGACTACGCATACATGCATGCACATACACATGTAAGATTGAGAGAAATATAGTGAACAAACAAACTAAAACTTATACGTTCATAGTCATAGAGTCATAATCAGCAGAAAAATTCCTTCCAAAAAGCAAAAGGAAGAAGATTCAGACAAGAATTTTAAATGATGCTGCAGAAGATGTCATTTTATCATTAAGCATGTATTATTATTTTCTAACTCAGTGCATGCTAACTTAAATTGCAAGAAGAAATTTCCGAGGTAAACTGTCAATCACTGTAGATTCAGATACATTCAAAGCATTACCTGAGCTGCATATGCTGAGCTGTCAGCCAGGAACTTAACAAACTCTTCCTTCTTTCTCTCAAAATTCAATTTTGCAGCATTCAAAAGTGCCTGTTCTCGCTTAAAATCCTCCATCATTTTGTCCTTTTGCCATTTCATCTCCTTGAGCTGCTTCTCAGTTTCCCTGTAGTTGTCAGGTAACTGTGAAGCCAAAGAAGATTTTGGGAATCTCACATCCACATCATTCCTGCACATTCAATTTCCAGTACAAAATATAGTCAACGAAAAATAATACACAAAAACAAATTTTTGAACTCTTAAATGTAGGAGTGAATATGTTATCCACTTGTAAAATATAGATATATGATGCAGAGTTAAAAACAATCTTAGTGCTCAGCATGCCAGACAAAACACGTGGAAAATGACCAAATACAGATCTTTTTTTTTTATATTAGAGATTTTGGAATATTAAAACCAGAAAGTCGAAGCATAATTCAACAGCATGGAAATAATATAACCTATTGTGACTCTGAAAAGTCCTTTCTTAAAGCTTTTTGAATCACTTGAATGCAGAAAATATATTTCCATGTTCAAACTCATGACAAAGATACAGTAAAATAATGAAAATCTACATAAGACACAATAGGAAACAACACCATTTTGCTTCTGTTAGAAAAGCCCTTTACCTATTGCCTAAGGAAAAGAAACCGGTAGCCTTAATCATTCCTCCATCCAATGAAATGGCTCCATCACTTATACAAGGAAGAGCAAGTAACATTTCTTCTCTACTTTTATAAACTTGCAGACGAGAGAAGAGGCTATAAAATAGAGTCTCCCTGAGGCCATGTCCACTGGATGTAACATAAAACAAGTTTGTACAATCAACATCGATCATATTTACAGCAAAGCCGATAAACCCAGGCGGACACTCCCCATTAGGCAATTTTGGCTTTAGAAGATCAAGCCTCCTTTGTGGGTCATCAGTCACAAACTCACCGCAGAAAGGTCTACAAAAGGGAAAGAGAATAGTCTTTGGAATTTTTACAACTAAACTTCGAGATTACAAAAGACAATGTAAGAGATTCATGCCTTAAATGTTCAAGACAAATGACAAGAAATCGACCATCCAGAGCCCTCCCAGTAGAGGCACCAAGGCCATGAAGACCAGAGTCATTATTTATTTGTCCTTCCTTCCCATATGCTTCGAGAGCTGCAATGCCTTCATAAGTCTTACAAACAATTGCTAGCATGATATCTACTCCTAAATACTCTGACAGAAGCCTGAAATCAACAAGAATATCAACAAATCAATGGAAGAACAGTTCAGAGAACTAACAATCAAATTATGGAGATACAATTAAGATAAACTATCAATTAGATGGAGGGCAGAGAGGTTAATTCAATCATTGAGGCCAAACACTAACCAGCTATCTCTTATAATTGTAGAGAACTTAAATTGAATACCTATTTCAGAAACCATGCATGGCGTACTTACATCAGAAATGAATCCGGAATATCCTATTTCATTAATTGACATACTGCTCTTGGTTATTTCACAGGCAAAACAACACAATAAACATCCAACATGAGGTCAAAACAATGCAAAATCAACAATTTTTGGATAGCCTTCACACTTTTAGCATGTTTCCATCTGACCTGCTAAGGTTATCATCATCTACTTTGCCAAGTGTAGCAACAATACCAAGAACATCCTTGGTTAAAGCAAGATGAGAAGCATTCGTGCCATGGCGCAATCTTAGCTGGCACAGAATTCCTGCTGCTGATTTTTCATGCCGTAGAATCTGTTCTGTTGTTTCCTCCTCACTCTGACTGGAGGAATGCTGATCGTTTTCAGTATTAGGTGGCGTTGCAGAATGATACTTACCAAGAATAACTAAAAGACAACTTGTCAGTGGAGAAAATAGTCAGAGGAAAGAAAGAAGTAAAAATACACCATAAATGATAAATTGATGATACAATGCTAATTTCCAGAATAATTTAGGGTTCTGAATTCAATATATTTGTTTCCATAGTTAAAAACCTTGACCTGAAGTTGACATCATTATACTTCTATCCACATATTTTGGAGTTTATATCAACAGAAAGTTTAATCAACAAATGCAACCTCTAGGTATCTAAACAAAACTAACTTAAAAAATTAACAGAGATAATGTCTATACATAACAGGTTCTAAGCAATGCAAGAAGGTAATCTTCCATTGGGAGAACCTCGCATTCATGACCTACAGCTGAAAGCATGTGATACAGCTCAATCTAATGGTTTTGGTAGTAGCTTAGCTGCACATGAATATTGAAAACGTTGTCTCATGACATTATGTTGAAGTGGTAAATTGTAACCTTATATGTATTTTCATCCAAGTTAATTGCATGCGATTGTCACTTTTCATTAGCTCTGAAAACTTCAAGGATTTACCTTCAATGATAGGCATAAGAATACAATTAAAAGTACCTTGCAAATCAAGAATGGAATCTTCTAGTTTGCTTTTCTGATTTTTCAGAAATTTTATATTATCCTCATGCTGCTTGATTTTGAGTCCTAACATGTGTAGATCATCTTGAAGTTTCTGCAGAGGTCAAATCATTCAAAAGTTAGTTTTTCGGCCAATTTCCACGCAACTAATTTCAAAAGGAAAACATTCTACAAGTTTTTTTTGACAGACACAGTAGAACAAAATTGTATACAAGTTGTCACTTCAAAACCTTAGAACTGCATATTATGGATTGTGCATGCATCAATTCACCATTTTGCACTTGATCTATTGGAACAATACTAGTTTCTTTCTGATCCACTTGCATTAGTGCCGGTGAATCCTGCAGAAAACATCTCTTCATAAAAATTGGAAGTTACATAATTTAGAAAAGAGAACAGTTCTCAGATGCACAGGCTTTATTTCCTTATGACTTAATGACAAGAAAAGTAATTGGAAGCCATTCCCTAACATAAATTGGTAATGAATCACAGATCTGCCCAGTACCTTTACAACACAAGGGTGGGAAAAGAATGTTTCCCGATAAAGGAAATACTCATTATCATCTTCTATCATCTTGAGATAATGGAATTGTACTAAATATAAAGCCTCTGAGGCCTGACAATTTAACGAGGATTTCAATGTTTTAGGAATGAAATTCAGGAATTTTCAGGCTGTTTAGGCCTCCAAAAAAATAAATAAAATTACGAGAATACATAGCTGCAAACTATTGGCCAATTAAAAGTTTTAAGGTCCTTTGTACCTCTAGTGCTCTAACTATAGGAAAATGAAATAAGATTTAAGTTAAAATGAAAATATTGGAAGTTTTGTGCCATTACAATGTTGAAGATTATGAGATGAAAGTTGTGACAGCCCTTAACTTTTCAGTACTCACATCCCATCTAAAAGAAGGCAACAAAAATCGTATGGAGCCACTTTTTTTTGTTTCCAAATTCATATAATCTTTATTCGTGAGTTAAACTTTCTTTGACAACATTGACGCGAACATGTATAAATGATTTCCACATGCTGCATATTCACCTGTGTTGGGAGTCTACCAACTTACAAACTGCTGTTTCAAATTTTAAATGCCTTCAACAAAATGAATGACTTCGACAATAATTTTCAAAAACATCCCATCATTGTGATTGTGACAAATTTGAACCAAAAAAGCAATTAAGAAAGAACAAAAAGGGAAGTGAAATTCAATTAAGCTAAAAGTTCAGTGAAGGCTGAATGGTCCCATCAAATCAAAGCATATTAACAGAGCGCTCATAACCCAAATTGTCAAAGTTCCATTGAACATTCATAACAAATGACATTAATATTGAAGCATTATTCATCGAAGGACACTTGCATGATTTTCACATCGAATCACATGAAAACGTAATATAAAATACATTTGAAGACTCTGAAGATACCAATTTCACTAAACAAGCTCAGAAATTAGAGTAACGCAACACAAACTAACGCAATTTCAGCTTTGAAATATGTCAAGCACACTAAAAACAAGTGCATGCAAACTAAACCCTAACACTTTAAATGGTTTCCGAGAAAATGTGGGGAAAGGGTAGAAAAACTGCTAAATTACAGGTAGTAATTAATTGCCAGCAGGTGAAGAATTGTCAAAAATATTGCTATTTCTTTTTCATTTTCCATCAGTACTTTGAAGAAATTTTTCGGCAACCAAACAAAAATTAGAAAATTTTGAAAAGAAGGCAATAAGAAATGAAATGAGGTACCTGACGATTGGATTGATACATCGCTGGGTGCATTTAGAGAGTTTGACTCTGTCTCTCAGCCTCTCTCTTTCTTGCCCAGTTTTTTAAGTCTGCTCTTTGCACTTTGCTTTCAGCTTTTGGCTTCTGTGGAGGCTACTTATTTCAGCTTGCGGGGTGGACATAATTCGGGTCAAACAAAAAAATCAAACCGAATCAATTGATTTTGTTCAATTTGGTTCAATATTAAAAAGAATGTGGTTTGAATTTGATTTTCATAGCAAAAATTTGAAATTTTTTCTGTTTAATTCGATTTTCTGTTATGTAAGATAGTGATGTCTAAAAACCCTAAAATTCAACTAAAACTGAAAAGTTACTCAACCAAAATTGCATTAGATAAATTTTAATTTAATTCAGTTTGATTTTATTAAAAACTAGTCGAAAAATCGAACTATTGTTTTATTAATAATTATATTGTTGTAGTTGATTATATTATCATTTTTTTATAAACTATTATGAATTATCAAACTGTTAGGAAGAACAATCAAAACCCTACTTGAAAAAATTAATAGTGGCAAATATCAAAATGATTTATAATAAAGAAAACTACAACAATTGAAATAGCCTAATATTGTAAATTGTTAACACTATAATCGAGTTTCGTTATTAAAATAATCTCATAGTGGAGGAACTAACCACATGTTGAAACTCGGCAAATGAGCATGGTTGAAATTAGGGGTTAATAACGGGCAGAATCCGACCCGAACCGAAATACCCTACACTCGAAATAAGGGGACGAACAAACTAACTGACCCCTTTGAAAGTTTGAGCCCACTCAAATAAACCCTATAAAAATCGGGTCTGGTTATTCGGGCTCATTTAACTCAATTTTCAATTAAAATTTTTTTTATGGATTGGATACTTTTTTATATGGCTCTTGCACAATCAAAATTTTTATTTGGATCCTAAAAAATTAAAAAATTGTCTAGAAAAATAATTGTTGCTCAAACAACCATAATCAAAAAATCACAAAACAATAATCAACATCAAACATTCATAAAGAAAAAAAAATCATAAAACAATCAAACCATAATAATCACAATCATACAAACCATAATCGAACCATAATTTTCCATCTTCAAATCATAACCAAATCATAGCAAATTAAAAAGTCGCAGTTAAGCATTTAATATACATAATAGAAATAAAAACATAAAAACTTAAACTAATTAATTTTTATAATTTTAGTTGCACAAGAAAAACTACATGCCATATTCAAGAAAAAATTGATTTTGATTTGAAAATTTTAATTTTACAAGCAAAAAAGAAAGAAAGGAAATTGAGCTACGTGAGGAAATAAAAAAAAATTGATATTTTCATTTTTTTTGGGATCAGATCGAGTTAAATAAGATATTTAACCAATCGATCCGAACTGAAAAATCCATTATAACCCCACATCTTCAGTCGGGTCAAATTGGCGCGAATCAGATTTTGCATAGCCCTAGTTGAAATGAAGCTTGAAAAAATTCAATTATTTAAGACATTGTGGTATTTAGATTGCTTTCAAACAATAGCATAGGAGCTTGGAATATAATTCTATAGAGAAATTCATTAAATATGAGAGCTACCTAAAAAAGTAATTTTTAAATTGACTTGAATTTGATAATCACATACTAATTTTTTTTTTTTTGGAAGTTAATTCATGTTTTGCCTTTGATTTTACATAAAAAGAAACAAAGTAATGGTACAAACTACAAAGTACGAATTTCTACTTCAATTTTTGCTAAAGATAATCTGTGCAACATATTTAAATTAAATTACTAAAATATAAAAATAAATTTAAGAATAACCAATTAAAATATATAGATAAATGAAGGAATAAATTTTAATAGATGAAGAATGTAGATAGATATGTAGTTAGACTTGCAATTAGATCCTAACCCTAAGAAAATGAAATAATAATTATTTAGTTATTTTCTATTAATATTAAAAAATTTTAAATAAATAATTAAAAAATATGTTGATAATTCAAGGAATAACTTCCAATTTTGATAGAAATGTAATTAGACCTGTCCTTAGATACTAAGACCATAAAAAAGGGAATAATAATCATCTTATTTTCTATTAACATTTAATAAATTTGGAAAAATAAATTAACAAACTAAAATATATAGATGTAAATGGCAATCTAATATTCTTTCTATATTGCCTTTGAATTTCCACCCAGTAGTTCTTAGGGCACCAATGACCAAGACATACACAAATGCCTATATAGTTATAATTTTGGAATGTAGCCTAATTTGTTAAACAAAAAAAGAAAGAAAGAAAAAAAAAAAAAATATATACAATTAAAATATATAGATAAATGAAGGAATAAATTTTAAATAGATGAAGAATGCTAGATTAGATATGTAGTTAGACTTGGCAATTAATCCCTAACCCTTAAGAAAATGAATAATACATTAATTTAGTTATTTTTCGTATTAATATTAAAAATTTTAAATAAATAATTAAAAAATATGTTGATAATTCAAGGAATAACTTTCCGCAATTTTGATAGAAATTGTAATTAGGACCTGTCCTTAGATTACTAAGACCATAAAAAGGGAATAATAATCATCTTATTTTTCTATTAACATTTAATAAATTTTGGAAAAAATAAAATTAACAAACTAAAATATATAGATGTAAATGGCATTCTAATATTCTTTCTATATGCCTATTGAATTATCCAGACCCAGTAGCTTCTTAGGGCACCAATGACCAAGACATAACACAAATGCCCTATATAGGTTATAATTTTGGAATGCCTAGGCCTAATTTGCTTAAACAAAAAACAGAAAGAAAGAAAAAAAAAAAAAAATACATATATATTATCATATTATGAAAAAATATATATATATATATATAGGAATAGAGCTCATTAATACCTACTATGAATCTAAAATTGCTCCACATATGGATAACAAATCCAATAATCAAAATAACAAATAAAAAATTGCTCGACATGTGGATAACAAGTCCAACAATCAAAAATAGATGCACTGGAATCGCAAAAACGAAGATTATGATGACCACGTTGAGGATGAAGAAAGAAGAAGTGAATTATCTCATTCGTAGACCAAGAATACAAGATAGAGCTGGTATATTCACAGAATACCCGAATCCCTAGAATAAGAATTTGCACCAAAAATGGAAAGTCAAGAATGTTTAGAGGTAGGTGAAAACCAGAAGCATATTAAGCAAACAAGTAAATTCATGCATGGATCCGATCATGAGTATTGCCAGATATTCAATATCTTCAATAATAAATGAACAAATCCAATTTAGAAACATACCTCATACATCTCTTCTTTAACGAAAGAAAAGAAAAAAGAAAGCATAACATAACAAAAAAGAAAAAAAAATCCCAATGATTATTGTCATTTAATCTTCCAAAAAAAAGATATTTCCATTTCCCAACCCAAGAATGCCAAGTAACTAAAGTTGTTTCTGGCAGCAGAACCCAATTCACGAAGAACAAAATATCAGAAAAGTGTTGTCCATTTGGTAGGCTAAACTGAGTTTTTCAAAATCTACAATGGATAGGATCCAGAAATATTTGAACGATGACGAAGACTATCAGAATTTATGGATTTGATTAAGGTATTGGCCTTTGATTTGTTTTTATCTTTTATGGTTACCTTATTTTCTTTTCCCTTCTCTATGCTCAATAGTGGAGAGAGAAAGAAAGAGAGAGAGAGAGAGATAAAAGAGAGGAGAGAGAAGAGTAAATAGGTAAATATGATGGTAAAGAAAAATCAAGGCAATTTCGTACTTTCACATCCATTTGAACCTTTCCGGTTGATGGAACTAAAATTTAAGGACGTCTAAGTTGATTTTTGAAAACAGATGTTTTAAGTGTTAATTGGGCAAAATTTAGGGATCCATTATATAAATTTAGATTGAAACCTAGGAATTTATTTTTTAGTTCCTATAGTTTAAATGGGAATCTAAAGATTAAGTTTTCATTCTTAAATTTTGGGAGCTTGAATCTCCATAATGGCATTTTTGCAATTCAAACTATTGGATCGTTTGTTGTTATTGTTATATTTCTGTAAATGCATGCTTTAGGTAAATATGGTGAACTGTAGAAATTGGAATATGATATTATTTCTGTTGTTTGTTTTGTGTATTGTTTTCTATTAGCAGGTGATTAGGAAGTGTTATAGTCTTTGGCAGGAGAATTTGAAGAACCTTATAGCATTAGTTTTCAGGTACTACTATTATTATTATTCATTTTCATTTCTAAATTTATTCTCAAGGATCTAACAATAATTAATAAGTTTAGATGTTTTCTTAATGATCAAGTTTGATATTTTTGTTTCCGACCAAATATATTTCAACTTAGAAAGCCTCTCTTTTCGGCTTCTTGCACTTTTAAGAATACATGAATTTTTAGACTATATGAGTCAACATTTGGTATGTTCTATGCTATTCCTTTTAATTTATCCCTTTATTATATTTCTTTGTTTTTTTTTTTTTTTTTTTTTTTAAGTTTGAGTATTTTTGTTTTCCGACCAAATATATTTCAACTGCTAGAAGAGCCTCTCTTTTCTGGCTTGCTTTCGCACTATTCTCTTAAGATATTACTCTCACCATTTCATTTGAAAAATAATTTTTTATAGTTATAGGACGATCCATCTCTCACTAAAAGATAAAATGATGGTCAACACGATTTGGGTATACCTTTTATGAGTGTTACATATTGCTAAAATGTTAAAAATTCTCTTATTGTTGATATATTTCATAAAATCCTACTTTATAATATCGACTTTATATTTCTTCTTATGTTTTTTTTTTTTTTTTTTTTTTATCAGTGGTCTATGTGTACATTGTCAAATGGTACAAGACGATGACGAATATTTCCAGAGAATATGCATCTCTAATTTTCAAGCTCTGTGTCGGAAAGAAATGGCTTTTTCTAGCTGTTACCTCTTTTTAATAATAATTACAAAAATATAGAGAAATGTCAGACTTAGAGAAGGTTAATATATACGCTCTATGCATTCATCCATTAACTTTAATTAGCAAATCATCCAATAGATGAACGTGAATTTTTTTTTTTTTTTTTTTTTTTTATCAGTCTATGTCTTTCAGGTACAAGAGATGACGAATATTCCCA